ATCAGCTAAAGTGATTTCAAGTAGAACAGGCATGCCTTTGCCTTTGTCCACTGTTTATCTTTTTTTTTTAAAGATCTTGCAAATGGACATGGTAATGAGCACCTGGGAGGCGCAGGTAGGCCCAGAAAATTGACTGTCGGTGACAGGAGGCGGCTTGGTATTCTTGTTTCTAAAAACAAACGAAGGAGTTTAGAAAACTTAAGGCTGGATATGATTGATAGTGGAACTGTGGCTGTCTGTAAGGAGACAATTAGAACTGAGCTGCATGCAATGGGTTGGCAGAAAAGTCGAGGAATTCCATCACCGATCATACTTGAAAACCTGAACAAAAGGAGCGAAGGTTGAACTGGTGCTTACAGCATAGAAATTTTAACTGGGACAATGTGATTTTCTCAGATCTCATTTCTGTGTGGCTGTTTCCTAATGCACTGAAATTCTGGAACAAACAAACTGAAAAACCTTTGTATCAGCGCCCAAAGTAAGGTCCGAGAATTAACGTGTGGGGTAGCATATCTGTGTTAGGGGCAACGCCCCTCTGTGTATCTGAAGGGAATATGAACAGTGAGCGGTACACAGATATTCTCGAGGGACATTTACTTCCATCTGCTCACGTGTTCTATGCAAATTTTTGGATTTTCCAGCAGGACAACGACCCAAAACATTGTTCAAAGCATTAACAGGCCTTGTTTCGGACCTAAAATGTGACATTATTAGATTGGCCAAGCTATAGCCCTGACCTAAATCAAATAGAAAATGTTTGGGGACTTGTGAAGGAAAGTGTCAATAAGAAAAATCTGACAAATATTGCTGAAATGAAAGAAGAGGTAGTCCGATATTGGGACAGTGCAGGGACCACGACTTTCTAACTTCTTTGATCAGTTGTATGCCCCGCCGCATTGAAGCCTGCATTACTGCCCATGGTGACTTGACAAAATACTAACTGTTCACCTGTCTTTGAATCTGGTGTTATGTTCTGCTAATATTCACATTTAATACGTGAGTAATAAGTGAAAATTTTTTTAAAAAATTATAATCTTAAATTCTCAATAATTTCTGGTTGTACTGTATCGATTCGTAACGAGTTGGAATCAAAGTGGACCGTCTCATATATTTAAAATCTGGAGTGTCTGTGTTATGGTGAGAGAAATATCACCCTAAACCAGGTACACCTTAAGACCAGGTTGAACTTAAATTAATGAGTGATTTTGCGCTGGAAATGGCGATACAAGTGCTGTATGAAGTGACTGTAGCCGAGAACCGCGGTGACGGTACCTGTTAAAGAGCGAATAAACTTTGTATTTTGTACACTTTTAACCATTACATATGAAAGACTTGTGGTTATTCTTAAGCGGAACACCAAATTCATTTTTAAAAACCTTGTGGTTAATTAATACCGAGCGATTAAAAGTTGCCAAAAAGCCGCCTGCTTCACTCTCGCCCGCCAACGAAACCACAGACACGTTACGTAACTCTGTCAACAGAGAAATCTGCAGCGAACCGGATGTGATGTAATGTGAGGAAGGTTTTTCAGCATTGTGCAATGTTGTCAAAAAGGTCGATTTAAGTTAATTAAATTTCGAAATGAGTAGTTTTAATGACGGGGTTTCATTTATAACGATGCCAATAAATGATTTACGTATTTGTACCCCCCTAGAGTATATCTGATCTTTAAGAGATGTTTGAACTGTATAGGACCACATCGCGGCTAGAGTGACTGATGATATGTGAAGTGCATAGAGAGTGCGTTTCTTCCATTAGAGTACAATATCAATATATATCGAAATATTTAAGAAACAACACAATGGCGTCCCCGAACCACCGACAGAAGCAACTGGATACACATACTTACTCGATAATGAGTCGATACTCCTACACCTCAGTCCAAAGGAGATCTACAGGGTTGTAGAAAATCAGTTGTAGGAAATTTGTCGTGGAAGAGGAAACGAAAGCTATACATTGATTTGTGGACAGCTGGTTCTCGCGGTCTGCTGCACTACGCTTCAATAGTGTCGAAGCGAAGCGCAGCAGACCCTGAGAACCAGACTGCTTTGCTGCTCATTCAGGTTCAAACTGGTCCACATGTGGCGGGCATGTTGACTATATGGCAGTGACATTCACTGTGTGGTAGGCATGTTTTCTGTACGACCGGCATGTTCACCATTATAGGATGGCCACTGTATTGCCTATATGTTCAAGGTGTAGCTGGTATTGTCACCAACTTTATGTAGCCCTACAAAAATATTTCTACATTAATTAGTACAGTACGAGTTCAGTACTGTTATGTTCTAATTCGCTTCGCTTAAACGAACATAAAATAATTACAAAGTACAACATACTCTTAATATAAGGTGCTGTGTTCGAGCGAGCAGGTTTATTTCTGAAGTATACGTTGCAAGTATACATACCCGTAACGATCCAGGTTAGAATATTGATCTTCAGTAACCCATGCTTGTCGTAAGAGGCGACTAACGGGATCGAGTAGTCAGGCTCGCTGACTTGGTTGACACATGTCATTGGTTCCCAATTGCGCAGATCGATGCTCATTCCGTTGATCACTGGATTGTCTGGTCCAGACTCGATTATTTACAGACCGCCGCCATATACCAGGGATATTGCTGGGTGCGGCGTAAAACTACACTCACTCACTGCAAGTATACATCGATCGACACGTGGTCTGGATCATAGATGAAGAAATGCGACAAATGCGAGAGCCCATCAGATGTCCTCTAACTTGTTTGAGAGGCATTTAGAAGTTGGTGTGATGAACAACGAGGAGAGTTCTATGGATATACAACTTCTTTAATATAGTATGAGCGACGTTTCGGTGTAGCTACTAACACCGTTATCAAGCAAATGATGTCCTTTATACAATGTCCAATGTCCTTCAACAGTTCACAAAATATTCATGCATCCTTGAATTTGCGTACGATAACTGCAATATATCGATGAAGGCCAATGATCTTACACTCCTCAGACTCCCCAGGGAAAGGAGCGAGAAAGCGTCATCATCTCTACACGGTAATGATGTCGGATCGAATCCATTAATAGCCTCGTATACATCCAAGACGACTCGTCCCTGTGCTGAACTGCCTCTGAAACAATTTTCACTAGGGCCCTCAGTACAATTGAAAACTTCATCAATAATGATATTAGCTTCGAAGTTAACTTAAAACTGTACAAGTGGAAATATATCCCCCTGCTTTCATAAAGATTCGGGGACACAAACAATCGTTACATTAAACTTTTACACTTAGCTGTCGAAAAACAAACTATTTTGAGCTCGGACAAGAAATGCCTGCCTAAACATGAAGCATACTTAACTTAGAATATTGACCATTCCACTCCATAAGATTCATCGCTGTTGAGTTAGAGTCGTTGACTTGTGTCCCTGTCGCCAATTCCAAGGGGCTGTTGGGTAGCCTAGTGGTTAAAGCGTTCGCTCGTCACGCCGAAGACCCGGGTTCGATTCCCCACATGGGTACAATGTGTGAAGCCAATTTCTGGTGTCCCCCGCTGTGATATTGCTGGAATACGGATAAAAGTGGCGTAAAACCAAACACACTCACTCACTCCAAGTTGCATACAGCAGTTCTGTAGTTTGACCTCTGCTGATCCTCAATCGAACCACTTACCACGTAGATCTCATCCCATCCGTAACACACGGCCCAGTGAAAATAAAACCAAGCATCGCACTTAGAGATGAGCGTGCTGTCTTGGCATGAACAAGTCCGTCTATACCCCGGGGTATTACAAATTTATTCAGTATTAGAGGTCACATTGGTACAATTCGTAAGATCACACATGTGCACAAGGATTTGAGGGACAAATCTTCTGCTATCCTAATATAATACTTAAATTGCATTAAACTGGCAGGTTTCTATATATATATTCCAACATATTCAATATGCTACACATTTTGGTTGCCAATAACAAATTCCATTTTGCTCGCGATGGATACATGTATTAGGACCTGGGGATGTGCAGTTTCCTATTTTCCAAATAAAATGGCCGAACTAAGAGGAAATATAATGGTATTCATCTTCAATTGTATTATAACTACATTTATTGACTTTATCATTGTAATGAAACCGTTCATTTCTGAGTTTCTGGCTGAGACATATGAATTTACATAATATTCGGAAAAGGTGTTTATTCGGGCATAACGCCATGATGTATTTCTCCGACTCGCTACCGAGTATTGACTTTAATGTAAACAGTGTTTCAGAAGTGGTGAAGACGGTAATTTTAGCGTGCCAATTCTGATTCTCTGCCTTTACAGTTTTGATCAATGCATGAAAAGCCGTAATCCTGTGAGATATAAGTAAATTCAGTTTTAACGGACCGTTCTGTGTGAGAGAGAAAGAGAGATTATGAAGTTTGCTTTTTTTTTGTTTTGTTTTGGTTTGGTTTTTGTTGTTTTTTTGTTTTGTTTTGTTTGTTTGTTTGGGGGTTTTTTGGGGGGTGAGGGGAGTGTTACCCATTTTGTTCTGGGGAGGTAGGGGGTCAGCAATTTCGTACAATATTAATACTAACAATTTATGCTTAAAAATTATGGGGGTGGGGGGTCTTTGATTTTGTACATGACATGCAGGGGTAGTCATTCACATTGTTCATGATTCTCAAAAAAAAATCATCATCAATCATAACCACCCGCAAATAATGAACGGTCCCTAATAGCACTAAATCCGTTATCCTGTGGCTGCCGTACTCGACCTGTTATTTCAACATGTTATAACATTATTTGGATATCGATAACCATCCATGTACAGCAGTCTTCACCGATACTTTACACACTAAAATAATACACACACAAGTAGGACTATGTAGAAGACGGTAAAAAGTAGACTTTCCACGATTGTTTGCTTGTTGCTTAATGCTGCAGTTATATGACAGTGGGCTGTAACTAATCAAGTCTGGACCAGACAATCCCGTGACGGACTTCATGACCATAACGAACGGTTGTATGTGGTAAATGGAAAATCAATATTTAAAAATTGGTCTTTTTCGGATTTGGGGGAAAATGAAAGTTAAGAAAACGAGGAAACATTCTGTATTGTAAATTTCTTTATAGCCAATGAGTTGTTCTGTTTGATTGGCATTTTAGAAGCTGATGAGTAATAACAAAGGTACCTTTCTTATGAGTGGGTTGTGTTTAACGCTGCTTGTAACAGTTTCAGTTTCCACTACGGCTGTCAGCATTATGTCAAAGGAAAGGCTTAAGTGATGTACTACTTTAGAGAAACACACTAGCACGGGTATAGTGCTGGCATACCTAGAAACAAATTCCTGGCAAACTAGGAATAGAATCCCCAATCGTTGGGTTCTGGTGTACCAAATTAAAGGGACGCAACTCCACACAAGAATTGGTCCATCCTTGCTCCTAAAGACATAAAATTGATTGGTTGGGTTGGTTTCTTGGTTAACCCGCACAGCTGCAGCTGTATGACGGCGGTCTGTAAAAAATCCAGGATAGACCAGATAATCCAGTGATCAACATCATAAGCATCGATCTACGCAACTGGGATACTATGACGTGTCAACCAAGTCAGCGAGCCGAACCACAAAGAAACAAGGAGAGGTGTGTAATATATACAATGAAGTAATAACGAAGTATAAAGATGTACTCGTATGACGACATCAGTACATTAAAGGGAAACGCCACCACTTCCAGAGGTCCATCCGGAGCCATTTTCATTATCCCACGTAATCACCAGATGCCGATTAACGCCAGTCACCCAAAAAACTAGGGACCTGTGAAGATCTGGGTTCGAACTTGCCTTCAGCAATCCAGGCTTGTAGTAAGAGGCGACTAACGGTATCGGGGGGCAGGCTCGCTGACTTGGTTGACATGTCATTGTATCCCATTTGCACAGGTTGATGTTCATTATGTCAATCACTGGCTTAGACTCGATTATTTACAGACCATCGTCATCTAGCTGGAATACTGCTTAGAATAACTCTTAGTCTCTGAACATGTATAATGTTGACGGGAACAAACAATCCTTTCAAATTGAAAAGAAGACCAGAGAGATGGGCGATTCAGAACCTGAGGAAATCTAGACTTGCTTCATTGAACGGAAGGGAAAATAATACAGTCCCGGGACTGTGACAGACTGAAATACTGCAACAATCAAACAACAAACAAACAAACCAAACAACTGGGCTTCGCACCAGCCTGTCTCCCCTCCTCAGTGGAAGCGTCCCATGTATCTGTTTCCTTGTGTCTTGTGGGCCGTGTGTATCAATAGATCAACCAGGCGATGGTTCACACTGAAAGACACAAGACAGAAAGTAAATAGCTTTCACTTTTCCAACCAACCTAAAACAGTTCTCTAGGACATGTACCCTAGCCAGAAACATCCTCAAGCCTTTCAAAACATCATTACAAAAATCTTAAGCGATCAATGAAATGTCTCCAAATAGTAGCACATTTGTGTATTCCTGTCGGTTTGCTTTTTGCATCGAAATGTTTGAAAAAAGCGGAAGGAACATCAAAAGTTCAATGTCAGCTAGCCTGACCACCCGATGCCGTTATATTTTCCTCCTATGATAAGCATGGGTTTTCAGGGGTCAAACAATGGAAGGAACATCAGAGGTATACCGGAGATACAGCACGTGTGGCCTTTACCAGTTACTAGTTTCAACTGTGCACGTTACCATGGTTACTAGACTGTTAAAGCATGGTACATCCAGTAATTAGATATATGACAATAATACATGTTTGCTTCCGTATTTGAGTATCTCTGTTTGTAAGTAATACTTCTTGTGTTATGTGACTATTAGCAGCAGAACTTGTACAGACGACTATCAGCAGCAGAACTTGTACAGACTATTAGCAGCAGAACTTGTACAGACTATTAGCAGCAGAACTTGTACAGACTATTAGCAGCAGAACCTGTACAGACTATTAGCAGCAGAACTTGTACAGACTATCAGCAGCAGAACTTGTACAGACTATTAGCAGCAGAACTTGTACATACTATCAGCAGCAGAACTTGTACAGACAATCAGAAGTAGAACTTGTACAGACTATCAGCAGCAGAACTTGTACAGACAATCAGCAGCAGAACTTGTACAGACTATTAGCAGCAGAACTTGTACAGACAATCAGCAGCAGAACTTGTACAGACTATTAGCAGCAGAACTTGTACAGACAATTAGCAGCAGAACTTGTACAGACTATTAGCAGCAGAACTTGTACAGACAATCAGAAGTAGAACTTGTACAGACTATTAGCAGCAGAACTTGTACAGACAATCAGCAGCAGAACTTGTACAGACAATTAGCAGCAGAACTTGTTCAGACTATCAGCAGCAGAACTTGTACAGACAATCAGCAGCAGAACTTGTACAGACAATCAGCAGCAGAACTTGTGTCAGCAATCAGAGCAGAACTTGTACAGCAGCAATCAGCAGCAGAGAACTTCTACAGACTGACTGTCAGCAGCACAGACACTGTCAGCAGCAGAACTTGTACAGACAATCAGCAGCAGAACTTGTACAGACAATCAGCAGCAGAACTTGTACAGACAATCAGCAGCAGAACTTGTACAGACTATTAGCAGCAGAACTTGTACAGACTATCAGCAGCAGAACTTGTACAGACAATCAGCAGCAGAACTTGTACAGACAATCAGCAGCAGAACTTGTACAGACAATCAGCAGCAGAACTTGTACAGACTATCAGCAGCAGAACTTCTACAGACTATTAGCAGCAGAACTTCTACAGACTATCAGCAGCAGAACTTCTACAGCAGCAGAACTTGTACAGACTGTCAGCAGCAGAACTAGCAGACTGTGTCAGCAGAGAATACAGCAGCAGCAGAACTTGTACAGAGAGACTACAGATCAGCAGCAGCAGAACTTGTACAGACAATTAGCAGCAGAACTTCTACAGACGAGTACAGAACAATTAGAACTTCTACAGACAGAACTTGCAGCAGAACTGTCAGCAGCAGAACTGTCTACAGACAATCAGCAGCAGAACTTGTCAGCAGCAGACAGATCAGCAGCAGCAGAACTTGTACAGACTGTATCAGCAGCAGAACTTCTACAGACTGTCAGCAGCAGACTACAGATTAGCAGCAGAACTTGTACAGACTATCAGCAGCAGAACTACAGACTGTCAGCAGCAGAGAACTTCTACAGAATCAGCAGCAGAACTTGTACAGACTATCAGCAGCAGAACTTCAGCAGCAGAACTTACAGACAATCAGCAGCAGAACTTGTACAGACTATCAGCAGCAGAACTTGTACAGACTATCAGCAGCAGAACTACAGACTATACAGACTATTCAGCAGCAGAACTTCTACAGACTATTAGCAGCAGAACTTCTACAGACTATTAGCAGCAGAACTTGTAGCAGACTTCTACAGACTGTCAGCAGCAGAACTTGCAGCAGAGAACTTCTACAGACTGTCAGCAGCAGAACTGTACAGACAATCAGCAGCAGAACTTGTACAGACAATCAGCAGCAGAACTTGTACAGACTATCAGCAGCAGAACTTGTACAGACTATTAGCAGCAGAACTTGTACAGACAATCAGCAGCAGAACTTGTACAGACTATCAGCAGCAGAACTTGTACAGACTATCAGCAGCAGAACTTGTACAGACTATTAGCAGCAGAACCTCTACAGACTATTAGCAGCAGAACTTGTACAGACTATCAGCAGCAGAACTTGTACAGACTATCAGCAGCAGAACTTGTACAGACTATCAGCAGCAGAACTTGTAAGACTATTAGCAGCAGAACTTGTTCGGACTATCAGAAGTAGAACTTACAAAGTCAGCAGAAGAAGGAAACCGGAGATGTACACATTCCTCTGAGCCCGGAACATTTCGGCCCATGTCGACAAAATGATCTCCTGGTGTGCGTTCGTAATCTTCTTGGGCAATAGAGATCTGCACTTGTGGTGCCTCCAAACAGCATCTATGGTTGAAACCCAGTGAAATCAACACAAACGTAATAACAAGTTTTTGTAGTTGGTGTTACATAGTAAAGCACAGTTCCAGTACGTTTTAGATATTCTTTTTGTGTGTCACATCCGGGTACAGAGAGGCACCAAATCGCTGGCACTCAAATTCAGCGATCTAAACTACTCAGCAATCGTGGCTATCAAAAAGAATTAAGTCTGACAGCTGGTAGTCTAGATCACGTACATAAGCATGGTTTGGGCTTGGAAGATTCTAAATGATAACAAAAATCAGAATATAAGATATATGGCTCATTTCAGGTTTGTTTTTTGTATTGATTGATTGTTGTTTAACGCCGCACTCTGGGCCTGACAATTCAGTGATTAACATCATGAGCATCAATTTACACAACTGGGATACGATGACAAGTGTTAACCAAGTCAGCGAGCCTGACCACCAGATCCCGTTAGTCACTTACGTCATGGGTTGTTAAAGACCGATTCTAACCATGATCTTCACGGATCATTTCCGGTTTGGGGAAGCGTTTGAATACGAACAAGTTTTTGACCATAGGGACGAACAGGAACGTTTATCTATGATTACGGATTTGATCAATGTTGAAATTTGTTCTTGATGATTAAACAATCATCCAGTTTCATTCATTCAAGACCTTTTTATATACTATCCCCAAAAAGAAACGCATAGGCCAGAAATCTGTTGCGAAAATACTGTATTTTTAAACAGGTATAACTCGTCCACAAATAGACTTTAGTACATGAATTTTTACATCGGTATAGAAGAAATGTCTATACAACCAAGTGGATACTTTTAGATAACGGAGACGCTGGCGACATGGTGACGACGTAGCACGGGCCCAGCGTCGGGTCTCCTGGCTCTCAGTCCAATCTCTCTTAACCTGTTCCGTACAGTTTGACCGGATATCCTTCGAAGTTCAGGCACCCTGGCTGTTGTGCTCTCACTCGTTGCAGTACGAACAAGCAAATGTAGTAACCGGATGTACCGATCTTGGGCTGCAGTTGTGACTCGAGGTCTGGCCGTACGAGGACGGTCATTTGTTATACCTGTTTGGTTGTAACGAGCTGCAAGCCGAGATATCGTGCTCAGACTAACATTCAGACGCCTGGCAACAGAAGATTGGTAATCTCCAGCGTGCATTCTTTCAATGGCGATGATCCGTGTCTCAGAGTCAAGACGTAGCGTAGTGATTTGACCTTGAAACTCCTTCAAAACGAATGCCGATTTCCGACTGCTGCACAATTTCAACTGGAAGGTGATTTCGGTTGCCTTGTGGCGATGCCTTTTTCATCTTTGGAAGAAATCTCATCAAAATCAACATTTTCAGATAAAGTCGATTGTTTACTTGTGAAATTGTGTAAAATCATGTTATCAACACTTTTGTTACATATTTTGACGATTGTTTGAACACAAAAGGTAATTAATAGATATTAAAAAATACAAAACGCATATGCGTTCCTTTTTGGGGATAGTATATAAACTAGTGCTCAAGAGAAAGTATACAGTGTGTTTGATCGAACTTGAAAAGAAAAGAAAAGCTTATATAAATGAACATCTGTTTAATTTCAGTAGAGTTTTCAATTCTACAGCAAATGTATACAGTTTCAATTTACACAAACTCGAAAGTACCGTTTGACTGACACTGAAAGAAACGTGGTATCATAGTCTGAAAGGTGCAAAGAGAGGAAAAGCAAGGTGTGCGAGAAAGGATGGAGACATCACGGCACAGGTTCAATAACTTTGTCGGCAATTGTGCACGTGCTCCGCGTACACCTGGCTGTTACTCTCTTTGCAGTCCTCCCTCGTAACAAATAGTGAACTGTCAAAATTTTAATGATCGTTTGTTAAACAACTTTTTTATATTTAGGACATAAATTCTGCAAAAAAAGATCACAGAGTTGGTCTGATGTTTTGATTATGATCAGTGTTTCATTGAGTATTATATGTTTAGTAGTTTTCGAGTTAGATTGCAATTCATCGGTCCGCTTTTGAGCCAAACGGACTATAACGTCGAACCCATGTCAGTCCACGGAAGAGTAAGATGCACGCCGCGGTAGGGTCGGCGTGCTCGAATACCATGTTCTCGTAGTCGCCGGTACACTGTATGTCGGCTGATACGGTGTCCTAGTGCCGTCACTGCCGTTGACGTCGCCGTTACAAACCGATTTCTCACATGAATTTCCCGGATGTGGCGATCATCACCGGGCGTGGTAACACTTGGTCGACCACTCCTAGGCCTGTCTGACTTATTGCCTGTTTGTCTTAATCGCGGCATGTCTGATAAATTGCACGGGTGCAGCCGAAGGTTCTGACAATGACGGTGTGGTTAGCTCCTTGCTGGGCCATTCCGACAGCACTGTCTATTTCGATTTCCCTCAAACGTGGCATATATTTTGTGTTCTTCTTACTACAGTGTTGCTGACGTGTCGCGTAGGCTGTTTTATACCGTCAGCATGCACGTACATTTCGTGTTACGTCAGAAAAAGTCGTTCTGGATTTGTTCACGACGTTTAGGCGATTCGTTAGTTTGTTTCGCCGTTTGTTCCAGGAAAGGATGGATCTGTACGTGTGTTCCAGGAAAGGATGGGTCTGTACGTGTGTTCCAGGAAAGGATCGGTCTGTACGTGTGTTCCAGGAAAGGATGGGTCTGTACGTGTGTTCCAGGAAAGGATGGGTCTGTACGTGTGTTCCAGGAAAGGATGGATCTGTACGTGTGTTCCAGGAAAGGATGGATCTGTACATGTGTTCCAGGAAAGGATGGATCTGTACGTGTGTTCCAGGAAAGGATGGGTCTGTACGTGTGTTCCAGGAAAGGATGGGTCTGTACGTGTGTTCCAGGAAAGGACGGATCTGTACGTGTGTTCCAGGAAAGGATGGATCTGTACGTGTGTTCCAGGAAAGGACGGATCTGTACGTGTGTTCCAGGAAAGGATGGATCTGTACGTGTGTTCCAGGAAAGGATGGGTCTGTATGTGTGTTCCAGGAAAGGATGGATCTGTACGTGTTCCAGGAAAGGATGGGTCTGTACGTTTGTTCCAGGAAAGGATGGGTCTGTACGTGTGTTCCAGGAAAGGATGGATCTGTACGTGTGTTCCAGGAAAGGATGGGTCTGTACGTGTGTTCCAGGAAAGGATGGATCTGTACGTGTGTTCCAGGAAAGGATGGATCTGTACGTGTGTTCCAGGAAAGGATGGGTCTGTACGCGTGTTCCAGGAAAGGATGGGTCTGTACGTGTGTTCCAGGAAAGGATGGATCTGTACGTGTGTTCCAGGAAAGGATGGGTCTGTACGTGTGTTCCAGGAAAGGATGGATCTGTACGTGTGTTCCAGGAAAGGATGGGTCTGTACGTGTGTTCCAGGAAAGGATGGATCTGTACGTGTGTTCCAGGAAAGGATGGGTCTGTACGTGTGTTCCAGGAAAGGATGGGTCTGTACGTGTGTTCCAGGAAAGGATGGATCTGTACGTGTGTTCCAGGAAAGGATGGGTCTGTACGTGTGTTCCAGGAAAGGATGGATCTGTACATGTGTGACATGGGTCAGTATGGTTTTATCACTCTCTTTTTTTATATTATGTAATATTTTGCGATACATAGTTTGTTTTGAACACTAGTTTATTTTATCTTGTCGCACGTCAAAAGCCATAATAACGAAATATTGATAAATTTCAAACCAGTATCTGAACGCATCCTTCAAAATTGGCCTTTCCAACTGGCCTTTTTCCAGAAAGGCCCTATCCTTAGTCGTTGTTTGAAAAGAAAAACACACAAGTACGGATTGAAAAAGTTCATTCCTGGATTCTCAATTTATAAACATGCCATGATGATAGTTTAGAAGCGTTTCGTCCTACAAAAACACAACACTAGGGGGGCGGTGGGGTAGCCTAGTGGTTAAAGCGTTTGCTCGTCATGTCGAAGACCTGGGTTCAATTCCCTACATGGGTACAATGTGTGAAGCCCACATCTGGTGTCCCCTGCCGTGATATTGCTGGAATATTGCTAAAAGCGGCGTAAAACTATTCTCACTCGCTCACGAACTACACTACAGTGACTGGGCAGATGAATCAGACCGTATTCAGTAAGATATCACCTCACCTCCAAAAACAACACCGAGGGTGATGACTGCACTCCAGAACGGGAGTCCCATTATTCCTACGACCCATTGAAACTGAGATGACGTCAAGGATTCGCACCACCTGGATGTTAATATATATTTCAAGTTTTAATGGCAAATAAAACATACCTTACTCGTCTTATTGATATTATTTACTTTCAAATATAATAATTGTTTTTGCTGCAAAGTAAGAACTATGTTCGTAGTATAGAAATACATAACGTGTATATGTTACACTATGCAAATGCCAACTGCATTAAAATAGACAGTATAATTGAAATACAAATAAGTACAATTGTGGCCAGCACTAATTTTATGCATGTGTGGTTTGGTGTTTTACAGTATGATGTACAGTGTAAGCATAAGATCTGCCAAAGAATGCTATTTCTCTCATGTCATTATGGATCTATGGGCATAATGACTCGAGGATTCAATGAGTGAGTGAGTTTAGTTTACGCCGCACTCAGCAATATTCCAGCTATATGGCGGCGGTCTGTAAATAATCGAGTCTGGACCAGGCAATCCAGTGATCAACAGCATGAACATCGATCTGTGCAATTGGGAACCAATGACATGTGTCAACCAAGCCAGCGAGACTGACTACCCGATCCCGTTAGTCGCCCCTTACGACAAGCATGGGTTACTGAAGGTTCATTCTAACCCGGACCTTCACAGGTTCAAGGATTCAATATTCCAGCTATATGGCGGCGGTCCGCACACCAGTGATCAACCACATGAACATTGATCTACACAATTGGGATACGATTGGTGCCAACCAAGTCAGCGAGCCTGACCACCCGATCCCGCTATAGCCGCCTCTTACGACAAGTATCGGTTACTGAAGTCCAATTCTAACCCTGGGTCCCGATCCACAAAACGTTCGCAGCGCTACGACATTCGTAAGCATATGGTAAACTATAGAGTTACGACATGTCGACATGTCGTAACTTTACGAACGCTTTGTGGATCGGGACCCTGATCTTTACGGCTGGGAACGAATAAGGTGGAATTATCAATGTTTGGTTGAATAAAAGATCAGTGTGTGTGGGAAGCGTTCATTAAAGAGGGTATATTTCAGAAATGTTTGCACTTACTTTTCCGGTGGAATGCAAGGGAGGAGAAGCAGGACAGTGATCGACATTTCAACACAGAGAATAGTACAGATAAGATGCCACTTGAAACCCATGGTGAAGATGGCTGCAGTGAAAAGTGAGTGATTGTTACTTTACGCCGCACTAAGCTGTAGTTCAGTGATGCTAGGCAGCAATGTGTAGGAGGACATAACGTCCGTTTGACACTTTGGTGATGTCCATGTTATTGATAAACTTAAAAACATAAACAGGTTTGGATTGTCAGAAACGGATATGGACGTATGTCAATATTTCCACGATTACAGCCAAGACATTTCTTTAGAGTTTAGAGAATTGATAGAATCCGGGTGAAAATTCAATTTAAGTCATGTGTATAATGTTGATAACTAAGTTGTTGGTTTTCTTCATAATATATATTGCATTCTGTTAAAATTAATTTCTTTAATAATTTCGAAGATCATTGATAGTCAACGAGATGTTACAATTCAAGTAAATGCCTAAAATAGCTTGCTTATCAACAACTAAAAAAACACATATTTGAAAGGCTAAAACATTGAACGGAAACTGTCGTCATTAGATTAAATGAAAAATATATTAAAATGTCTAACTGAGTTGATCATAACATTTTCCCCAATTACAAATAGAACCCGCAGCACCCGAAAATCTACAATATAGACCAAACATTATGGATAACAACTTCTTTTATTCGTGAGTGCGACGTTTCGATACAGATACTTGTACCGTTGTCAAGCAGGAGTGGAACATGACGTCCTTGTGTCCCGTGCCTCCTGCAACTCCAGACCACTGTATACAGAAAACCTACCTATACGGATCAGTACATCCACTACAACTCCAATCATCCTCCTAAAGGTAAGACCGGCATCATCTCCACATTAACCAGAAGGACCAAGAAAATCTGCTCAACTAAACTACAAGATGAAATAGAAGACTTGAAGAAAGTCTTTGTAGACCTTTACCACTATCCGCCCCAAATAGTCAGCAGAACCATTGCTGCAACCCTGTCACCACCTACCAAAAAAACCCTAACCAGATTCAGCGCCCATCAAGATATCCATTCCCTACATTGGTAAACCATCACATCAAATCAGCCGACTCCTGAAACAACAAGCGCATAGGTACCACCTTCGCCGCGTCATCCAGCCTTAACAACATTCTCCATGCTAATGGAAGAAAACCAGTCACCGTCAAGAAAAACAACCCAAAATGGAAGAAAACTAGTCACCGTCAAGAAAAACAACCCAAAATGTGTCGTCTACAAAATAAACTGTGATTGTGGACAGAGTTACATAGGCGAAACGTCCCGACCCATCAACAAAAAGAGCATCAGACCTCTGTTACCAATTCCGACATCAAATCAGCCATTTCTGACCACATCAAAGCAAGCCCCAATTATCAAATACAGTGGTCTGACATCACCATTCTCGCTAACAATTTAAACAGACTTCACTAAACGCAAGCTCGCCGAAGCCATCCACATCAAACGCCCCCCAAAAAACCATCAATCGGGACAAGGATACTTCCTTCCATCCGCTTATGATGAAATCCTCCACCAAGCCCAATCTACTGTATAAACTCTACTGTAAAAACATCTCATTATTATACTGAACCACAAAAGAAATGTCGCACCGATAGCGATTTCTTAAAGCACACACTTAATTCACTCTAATTAACAATCAAAACGGAAGATTGAGTTCAAACTTGACAATTATGGTTAAAACATTTTCGGGAATCACATTTAGAGTTCACACAAACAAAATCACCAAAAACTAGTACCATTTAAAAACCCTAAGGTCAGTATTGTGTGTGACCTCCATGGGCAACGATGAAAGCGTTGCATCGTCAGTACATGGACAGAATTAGCCGCTTGATGAAGGCCATAGGCACTTGGGTCCATACTCTGTGAAATGTTTGATCGAGTCTAGCCGCAGTTGTCCGCCTAGGGTGGAGGTCATTCAGTATTCTTTGAATCTCGTCCCAAAGGTGTTCTACTAGACTCAAATCCGGACTGAGTGCAGGCTATTGTAGGGTTTGGATGACATGTTGCTTTAGGAAGTCCAATATTAATGTTACTCTGTCAGTTTGGAGACGAGCTTTGTCTTGCTTGAATATGTGATTTCTGTGACGTCCAAAATGTGGTACAACGTGGGGTCTATTACTTGGTCAACATAGCGAGCAGCTGTCACGTCATTTCCTCATCCTGGACCGAGATTCTGGAACACCACGGTGCCAGAACAGAACAGAACTTTATTGCTTTTCAGGCCGTAAGACTACGTCATATGAAGATCACAGTGATTATATAAATGTATACATTTTGGTGACAGGGCTGGTAGTCTGAGTTTAAGGCATATAAGCTACAAATAATAAATAGTAGTCAATAATACTTTCTGTTACACAGACAACTGTCTGGTTCAGACCGATTCCAACCCGCACCATGATGCTTGGACCACCCCATGAGTCTCTTTCAAAAATATACTGATTGGAAAACAGTTCCCCACGCCTTCACCATACTCTCACTCTGCCTTTGGTTGTCGAAACACAGTATCGGCTTTCATGAGAAAAAAGCATAGTTTTCCATTGTCGATGATGACAATTTGCAGTCGCTTTTGGCGTTGACAGTCAAATCAAAAGCTAAATCATACATCACAAAAGTAATGAAGTTGAGTCTTTCATCACAAAATTTAAATCATATATCACAGAAGTCATTCGGTGGAACTGTCAAATCACTTGTCAAAATCCGACTAGTTCATCTCACAAGTCACTTGTTTTTGCACAACTGGCTGCTGTGAAAACGTCTGGAGCATTTAATTTTGTTTTTGAAAAACTTGCATCTGTTGGTCCCACATCTCTTTGAACCTGCACAATTGCACCGGACATATCCCTGTCCACCACAGCTGGATTCTATATGTACAGCCTGACGTAGTGTACATTGTCATTTTGTGTTTTACACACATTGCCTGATTTGAAAAATCTTCAGTCAGGCATTATTTTTAAAGGAAAGCTATAAATTTTAGTCATTTCGTGTATTTAAGTATACACATGTTCATTAAGTCTGAGGACGAAGGTGACGTTTACGGACGCGTTGATCAAGCTCGTCCCATAGATGCTCGATCCGGTTCAGATCAGGAGATTTGGAAGGCCACGGAAGGACATTGACGTTTGCATTGTGGAGATAGGCACCCGTTACACGAACTGTTTGTGGTCGAGTGTTGTCGTGTTGAAACAGCTCCCTCTGGCGGGAGTGGGAGGAGGTGAGGTCGCAGGATTTGGTCAATGAAGCGATTTGCTGTAAGATTTCCTTGAACCAGCATTAGTTCTGATCTACCCGTGTAGGACATGGCTCCCCACACCATAACTCTTACTCCACCGAATCTGTCCACCTGTCGAACGCATTTCGGCGCAAAACGTCCGTGCCGACGTCGATGGACACGTTGTCACCCATTCCGTCGTTGCAGGAGGATTATTTCCCCGATTAAGGAAACTAATTGGGAGAGTTTATTTTCGAAAACTCCAAATGTTAACAACGCTTGTGTAATATTTACTTCTCTGCTTAAGGAATATATGGTTAGATGTATCCCAACCCAGAACGTTACAATTAGCCCTAGAGACATACCTTGGTTTGACAGTGAACTTCGGAGAGAAATTAGCAAAAGAGACCGTTTAAAGAAGAGAGCATTTCGAACACTGAATACTTCTGATGTACCTAAATTAAAAAAGCAGAGGAATAAAGTAAACAATCTTTAAAAATTAGCCAAGAAGTTTTTTTATTCAAATTTAGGCAGTTTTTTATCTTCTCACTGTACTCAATCAGCAGATGATTGGAAGGTTTTTAATTATTTGTTGAAAGGTTCTTCTTCATCGGGACCCATTCCCCCTCTCCAACTGATGATTCCGGAATAGCTTCAGCATTTACAAACAGCCCAAACATTGAATAAATATTTTGTATCTGTTTCCAATATCAATGGTGAGGGCAAGACTTTGCCACCTGTTGGCCGTCGCTGTCCTAACAGCATTACAAGCGTTAGTGTTACTGAAAAGGAAGTATCGGAAATGATTAAATTTAAGACTTTACCAGCAAACAAATCTAGTAGACCTGATGGTCTTGATATGGAAATGTTAAAACGAATTTGTACATCAATAAAACAGGCAATGTTACCCCAATTTTCAAAAAAGGAGATAAATCCCTGCCTACTCATAAGTTTATTTTCTTTCCTCGGGAAATGTTTTGAAAAAATGATGTTAACGTATTTACATAACCATTTCAATAAACATAGCATTTTAAGTAAATTTTAATCAGGTTTTACTACAAACAACTCTACCACATCTCAACTCATTGAAATGTATCATAATATATGTTCAGCTCTAGATACTCATCACTTTTATTGTATGATTTGTTGTGACATTTCAAAGGCCTTTGACAGGGTGTGGCATAAAGGGTTATTGCACAAATTGGAAAATTATGGGCTCGTGGGCATTTACTTAGATAATACAAAATGAAATACATTTCATATAATACAAAATGGTCTCATCATGTATCTGCTGTAATAGAAAAGGCCTAAAAAATTGTTTCCTCATTACGGACGCTGAAGTACGTATTACCTAGATGTATCCTTTCTAGTATGTATGAAATGTATATTAAGCCTATTTTAGAATATGCATCTGAGGTCTGGGATAACTGCCCTAGCTTTTTTTGTCATAAACTTGAAATGTTACAACTTGAAGCAGCAAGAATTGTAACCGGATTGCCTAAATTCGCTTCAAGATCTAGTTTATACAGTGAAACTGGTTGGTTACCATTGAAAGTTACACAAACACAAAGAAAACTCTGTACATTCTATAAAATTGTTCATATGGAAGCTCCTGATTACCTGATAGATTTACTTCCACCTTTTACTGAAACCATTTCCGGATACAACTTTCGTAACAAATCAGATTTGGCTATTCCTAAATTTGGCACCTCAATTCTCCAAAAGTCATTTATTTATGATTCTGCAAGTTTATTAAATGCTCTCTCCTCTACAACAAAATGTACAAATTCATTATCATCGTTTAAATCAAAGTTATCTGAAAAAAATGACAAAGTTCCAA